TCGACGGGTTTCCGGGAGCTAATGGCACAAGGCCACATGGAGGCCTTGGATGGTTGTGCTCCCCGCGTGCGGGCTCCATCTCAACCGTCTGGGCTCTGCAGCCCCCAGGTGACCTCAAGTATAAATAGGAGGTGACCCCCTCTAGGTAAAAGATCAGACACTTGAACTTTCTCACTAGCATTTGAGATATCTTACTCTCTTGTGACCTCGTTTAGGTGCTCGCACCTCAAACCTTATCTGCTCCGTACCTTGGTACTAACTTGATAATCGGAGTCTTTACCTCAATTCTTCACCGAGGGTCTCTAACGCTCTTCTCTTTACAGAACCAACCTCCTGGTCCTCGGTCACCTTGGATGCGAGACATAGCAAGCGTCAGGCCTCAAACCTCAGACCTCAAATCCCTCCTAGCTTGGACAATGGTCCTCGGCCATCTCAGTTCTCGAACCTTGGATACCTCGGTCCCACTCGGGTTTAGGAGTGAATTGATAGTGTTGATGCTCGGATTAGCCGAGGACATCCGAGCATCAACACCAATCAATCGGCATTATAGAAATGGTAATAAATCAAGTAGGATTTCATCAAATTACACAAGGGGTTTTGACTGGTGATGAGAATGTAAAATATCATATTTTTCTCCCTTAATGTGTAGTCTTTTATACTTATTTAGTGCCTAAATGGACTCATTATTCTTATATTTTGATTTAGGGCACAAATGGAGGCGTTAAGTGAAAAATAAAGCTAATTGGGTAATTCTAGATAGTTTCGGCACCGCGTCGTAATTTGGGTATAACTCTCTCATCCAAACTTTGATTAACATGATTCAAGATGCGTTGGAACGATAAGGAAAACCTATACAACTTTAATGTTTTGAGTTTTGAGAATTCATCAAAAAAAATGTTTTGAGTTTTGATAGATACTGACTGAATCGAGGTCGAAATCGGGTACGAAGTAGCTATAACTGCACTATTGACATGTTGAAAACGTTCCTTAGCCTGCAAGTTTTCATATGCGAAATCACCACTCTCCCACTTACATTAGAACTTTGTTTTATCTTATTTTTAATATTTTTCTTGGTAAGTCAGACTTGGAGACTGTTATCTAGAGTGGAATTTTAGGAGATTTTGTAGGCTTCTCTTGGGGAATGGAAAGTAGAGAGAAAAGAAAAGAGGAGAGGAAAAACAAGAAAGAGACAATCAGACCTAGGTTGCCGCCCCCTCTCTTATTCCTCTCCAATTCTTTCTTGAGTTTTCACCATGACCATGCGCGGCTAAATTCTGATACTTGGTCGAAAGAAACAGAAGCTTCAAAATCAACAAAACTGTGAGATCTAATTTATTTTTTATTGTTTGATTTATGCTTTGAATATCGAATGTTCTTCTATGTTCATGTTTATGATTATTTCGTCTGATTGCTAGGAGGCCTACTAGTTTATTATTCGCTGCAATCTACTACTAGGTTAGATATCAGATCCGTAATTGTTTGATCCCTCTAATCTACGAAGCAACTAGGGTTTAATGATTTGCTGTGTCAGAAATTGTTAGATCTTAGGAAGAACACTCGATTGAATTAAATGCAACTGCTTGTGCTTGTGTTGTTTAGCTTCATCGATCTCTAATGCTTAAGGCAACTGCTGGATTAAATCTTTAATGTTTGTTTAGAAATTGTTCAGTAGTAAAGGTTAAGAGGATTGCTTGTTTTCCAATTAACTATGATTAGGGAGATACAGGAAAATAATTCCTACCATGAATATTCAAAGTCTGAATTGACATATCTTTGCATCAATGAGTAGTAGTGAAATTCTGATGGTGGATGTTGATTTAGACCAAGACTCGTTCTTTTGTTTAATTTCAGTACTTTGATTTGCATTGTTTCTCATTTGATTTTCTTTTTTTTTATTTTGGTTTTCATTATACTCAAACCCCCCTTCGATTTTTGTTCACGCAGCACAAAAACTAGGCTAGATACTCTCTGTGGGAACGATCCTTATTCGCACTACTGCATTTGTTTTTGAGAATATAGGTTTTATTTTTGGGTGCCTACGACAACACACCAACTGGTCAAAGCCTTTTTGGTGTTGTGTCTTTCTAGTGTCAAACCTAAACCTAATATGCAAGTTTACCACTTAACTTGGCCCATTGTCTAGTGAGGTGAAAGTTCTTATTGGAAATGTAGAGGGAGGTTTTTGTAGAGGTCAAAGTTTAGGGAGGTTAAAGTAGTTATTGCTACTTAGAAACTACAAGGTGAGACTTAAAGTAATTTACCCTAATATAAATAAATTATTTTGCTAAAAATAGGGGTGAGCATGGGTCTCTTTGGCTTGGTTCCAATGCAAAACCTATAGTCTACAAATTGGAATTGGAACCTACTTTGTCAAGATTTGTTCTTGGGTCTACCCATGGAACTTGTTCTTTCTTTAACCCCCCCCCCCAAAAAAAAAAAAAGAAGGAACATGTTCTTTAAAAACTTTTGTTTTCAATAATGGTAATAATCATATACAGTTCAAAACTTATATTACCTTTAAATTGAGTAATTTAATTTGTAGATTATCATATTATATTAATATATATTACAGAACTTATCATTATAATTTAAATTTTGTAAACAATACCTCTTACATTACTTGTTATACACATTCAAATATTAAATTGAAGAAAAATGATGAAATCACTTAAGTGACTCAATGGTCAAATGAAACTATGGTCTTTGTAACCATGAGTTCTTGGGTTCAAATCTTCACATGCTAAAAGAATTATGGGATTTATTTTAAGGAAAGTTTGGCTCCAAGTCCCAGTTTTTTGGGCCGAATCAGTTAGGGCAAACCTCTAGACCCTTGAATTGGCTTAGGTGGGGGTCGATTCAGAGAATTTGTAACTATACCCTACTCGGTAACAAATTGGGTAGGGTCGATTCAAGTCCAATTTGGAGTAGGTTCCATTGGTTCCAAGTAGAACCTACCCATTTGCTCACCCCTAATCAAAAGTCCACTCAATCAAGATATTAGAACAATTAATACATGCCACATCATTTGCATCTCTTTAGAAAAACGCATCCTGATATGGAACTTATGTGGTGTATTGTGATTGGGCCAATGAAAACACATCAACATTGCCCAAGTCAAGACATCTAGTTAACCTTGCGTTCCAACTAGTTCATATGCCTGTTATGAATCCCACTTGCTTCGTGTTCAATATCATTAAAGGGTAAATTACAAAGACCCCCTTGTACCATGGGGTCAATGACAATTACTCCATGAACTTTCGTTTGTAACAAAGACCCCTAAACTTTCAAATTGTGACAAATATAGCCCCTCTATTAGTTAATTTTGAAAAAGATTCTCATTCGGTTGTTTAATTTTTTAAATCTCCAAATTACCCTTTTCTTATTTAAAGCTTGTTTTCCTATGTTAGTGAAATGATTTTTGTTATTTTAGTTAGTTTTGTTAGGAGAAAATGAAGGTAATTTTTGGTCAATTAGTGTTAAGAGAAAGGGTGAGGAAAAGAAAATAAGGAAAATTTAGGTAGGCAATCTGGTAATTTAACGTATTCCATTATCTCACTTAACGTACAAGGGCATTTATTGCAAAGTGAAAGTTTAGGGGTTTTGTCGCAAATGAAAGTTTAGGGATAATAATACCTTTCTCAACCTTTTGGCTAAGATCAAGAAAGTTTAGGGGTAATTGTCACTTACCATAGTATAGGAGGTTTTTGTAATTTACCCTATCATTAAATTTCAAGATGCACTTAATTTAATAGGTTAAATTACATGGACCCACTGTATTATGAGGTCAGTGATAAAGACCCCCTATACTTTAATTTGCAAGAAACCCCCCTGAACTTTAGTCGTTAGACAAAGACCCCCTTTGTTAGCGTTCTATTAGTTAACTTCGAAAATGATTCTCATTTGGCTATTTAAAGTTTTCTAATTGCCCGAACCACCACTTTTTAATTTGTTTTACCTTTTTTTCTTTAATTTACATTTTGTATTGTTCGTACCTAGTGCTTGCTTTGGGACCAACGTGATGACGAAGTTGGTTGACAACAAAGTGGCTATTTATCAAGTAATTGGACATGGTTTCTTGAACTACGTTCGATTGATGTGAATAGAGGGTGGGGTCTAGTTTTGTTTTGGTTATAGATGAAGGGTCTAATGATGTTTGACTCAATTGGAGGGAATGTGATTAGAAGAGGAACAAAGGAAATGAGGGAAGAAGAGAGTGGGAGGTAGAAAAAAAATGGGAGAAAAGAGAAAAGGAAGGGAGAGAGAGAGGTTGGGTTCAGATAGTGACACAGAGGTAATGGGTGGATATGGTGAATAGGGAAGGTTTGTTACAATGATGGAGAACATGAGAAAAACAATAAGAAGATGAAAATAAATAAATAAATAAAAGGAAGAAGGAAGAGAGAGATGATTGGAAAATGAAATCACTACGACTTCTATGAGTTGTAGTGATTGTAAGGTGAAAATGAAGAGATAAAGAATGCTGAGGGAGGGAGGATGGCCAAGAGAGAGAAGGAAAGAAGCGGGGGAGTGAGAGAGAAAGCACCAATGAACTTGTTAGAGATTTTTTTTTTTTCTTTTCTGGTGACGATCATTGGTGAGAGAGTCAAATTTTTCATGTTAAAGATTTTTCACCAAAGAAATCAGATTTTTTTCCTTTTTCGGCAACCATCAAAGTCTTTTTGGGTCAATTAGTTTTAAGAGAAAATGACAAAAAAAGAAAATAAAGAAAGTTTAATGGAATATTTTAGTAATTTAACGTATTTCATTATTTGACTTAATGGTCAAGGGGTATTGTCGCAACGTAAAAGTTCAGAAGGTCTTTGGCGCAAATTAAAGCATATGGGGTATTTGTCAATGACCCTATAGTACGGGGTCTTTGTCATTACCCAAATTAATATTCTGTTTTCTCCTCATCCATCAAATTCATCCAACGGTCGTAATCGTTAGTTCCTGACCCATTGGCGGCTTTGTGGGGTACTACGATCGAACCGTCGATGCTCGCCGTGACGACCCAAGAGCAGCATAGCTGCTCCGAAGCTCTCTCTCTCTGAAGAACCGACTAAAAATAATCACCCGTCAATAAAGTAAAACACTCTGTGAACTCTCAGAAAATTTCTCACTCCGATCTCGAAGATGATCGGCGTTCAGGATTCAAAGGCGCTGTTCTCTATGCTGAACGCGGATCAGCGGCCTTTCGAAGAAATCGTTATCGAATTCAGCTCTAAATTCCCGCGCACAAATCATTTCAATGTATGCTGTTCGATTGCCATTCTTTTAGAGGTAAGTCATGTCTATCTCCCCTTCTTGTTGAGCCGTTAGTTTCTGATGTTTCCTGGATTTGCCTTGAATCTTGTTTAGGGTTTTGGGTTTTAGGGCGTGGCTATTATTTTCCGATAACTGAGCTAGGGTTTTCTCATTTCCCCAGTTTTATGATGGTTCTTGGTATAACTTTGAATGGATTAGATTCGTTTAAAATGATCCTTCAGTTACTCTGTCGATGAATGTTCGATATTGGACTCTAAAGAAGAAAAATATGTTGGGTCAAGTTTCTTGGTGATTGATTCAGTGAGGATGGTGCTGAAGCTTTGCCCATAACTTCTATTGACTAGGTTATTGGAGTGGGGTCTGTAGGGGAGCCTTTAAATTCCAACTACCTATTCCTAGTACCTTTAGAATAGGAGACTTTGGTTGAGGCATAAGGAGCTATAGGCGAATAACAGTTGCTGATCAGAAACAAAAAAAGTCAGAAAAGGCAAATAGATTGTATATACTATAACTGTTACTGATAAAAAATGCAATTATATCTGCTATCATTGGTTCTAGATTCATCCTCATGTCATCATACATACATACATACGTAACTCCAGCAGACATTTGAACTAGATATTATATATTTGGTGAGAAAACCTGTGTAATATTGGTTTAAAGAAATCTCCAAGACCTAATATCTTATTATTTAAAGCATTCCGTTCCAACTGAGGACTGTATAGGGTGTTTGTTTGGTCGGTCACCGTGCTGTCAAAGGGATATTATTTATAGATTTTAGATACTTCTACTTTCATGAAACTGGATGAAATGGTGGAATTAAGGTGGGTATTGGTCTCTTTCTATATATTTTTTTTTCTAGATTTTTCGGAGAGGTCCTATTTTCTGCCTGGTAGATTGAAACCATCGTCCAAGTAGGTGCTCGGTGACAACCCAATTAGGAATGCTTTTTATAGAGAAGATTTTTGTGGGAGTTCGTTTTGTAAATGGGGGCCTTCTTTGTTTTCTTTCTGGTTCGTTCTTGCTTCCAATTCCCTCATTTCCTCTCTTATTATGCGGTTCTTCATTATTGGTAAAGAAGATGTTTGGATATGCTTAGTTGATAAAGAAGTGAGAAATATATCATATGATCTTTGAATTTCATCCTGAACATGTTTCCAAATCTGACTTCATACGTAATCCTGTCCTTGAAATCTGAATAGGTTTTAGAAATTTTCAAAAGACACTATGGGTCAAAAAATTTTCTAGACATTGTATTCCCCATCCAAAGGCTTCCCCTATGGGTACAGACAATTCGTACTATATCTTTCTCCATATCAAATTCCTCCTATGTGAAATTCTCTGCTGAACTAGGAGTTTTCTACATTACATTTGACTTTATAATGCTCATCTGTCCCAAATTTTCTACCCACAAGATGTTTGGATATGATTAGTTGATAAAGAAGTGAGAAATATATCATATGATCTTTGAATTTCATTCTGAACATGTTTCCAATTCTCACTTTGTCTGTACCCATATGGGAAGCCTTTGGAGGGATAATACATTGTCTCTAAATTTTTTTTTTGACCCATAATGTCTTATGAAGATTTCTAAAACCTGTTCAGATTTTATCAACTAATAAGAACAGATCACGTATGGAATCTGTTCTTATCAGTTTAATTCCTTATTAAATCTGTTATGGGCCCGGGCGTAGGATCTCGTCACGGGTCGGTCCACGGGGAGAACCTCTTGCTTCCCCTTGCGCCTTTCCTTGCGTGCAGACCCTATTGTGGAAAACCGAATGGGTGATTTGTCCAAGAGACCACCCGACTCTCCTCACTCTTCTCTTGACTGGAAACTGAATGCCTTTATTTCAACTCATAGCTCCTTAAATAGGAGATTACAAAAGGGGAGTTCCTTGTTGGATTCAGCTAGGCTAGGGTAATCCATATCAAACTCAAACTTCTACTTCTAAATAAATTACCTACTTCTAATGGTAACACAACCCCTACTTCTAGTGGCAACAGAACTCTTACTAAGAAGATAAGATAAGATAAGGATAAGGGATGAAGGATAATGCAGCTGGCGGCGAGTTGGCGAGCAGAGCTATTGTGACAAGATAAGTGTGGGCCCACCTTGCTGAGCTATCGTGTGGGCCCCTCTCTAGTGCTGTCGCCGAATGGTGCGTGCGTCTCCTAAGTGTTGCTGCCGGGTGGTGCGTGCTGTTGTGCGTGCTGCTGCCTATGATTGCGTGCGTCCATAACATCACACCCCTCTTGGACTACGAGCTTGTCTTCAGGATGGATGTCGGGAAGCACCGTCAAAGGAATCCCAAATAGGTGGAATGACTTTGCCCTCCTGGATCGGGTTCCAGTGAAGGGGGTTCATCCTCATCTTCCTCTTGTTTCACCAGGAGGCAGAAAAGTCTCTTGCACTTGTGCCCTGTTGAGTAGAGTTCATCGCAATTAAAACATTGCCCCCTCGCCCTGC